ATCATCCAAATCGTACACAACAGATGCCAAATTTAATTAATCGTTTATTGTTAAATTCATTCTGTGTTTTAATCAAATCAAATACAGAAAAGACGGAAATTTAACAGCTATCAGATCCATGGTTTCGTAAGTGGCTCTGATACCACTGATGGAAAATTGCGATCTAAACGCAGCAGAAAACAAAAATTTCCTTTAGTGATCCTTACGAATGAGCATGGTCAGTGATAGAATCGTTACCTCTTTGTGGCGATTCAGATCTTTGATGCAGCGATCACAAGCGTTGATGAAGTGCAACGCCTCTACTCAGTCCACACGAACAGCTTTCGGTCACAGTGCTAGCTGCTTACGAACGGAATTATTTGAGTGAGAAAAGAGAATCAAAAACGAAATTGCATCAAGTGAAAGCTTCATCACAAGGGTTCCTTTTATAGACTCTCTTGTGGGCTGCGGGCTAAGAACCCAATTCACATGATCCATAATAATATTATATATTATTATAATAACTATTATTATAATAAATATATTTATTTTATTATTATTTTATAACCATTATAAAATAACAATAATTATTATTATATTATCCGAATTTCTATTTTTCACTTAAGTGCACCGTACCTTACGGTGTTCCTTTGATTTCTCTATCTCTCATCAAACTGTCCTTATGTGTGTGACCCTGTAGGATTTCGTAACGTTGGTAATTATATTAAATTATATATTTAACATAATAAACAGTAAGCGGTATCTAGCAACACATCACTGCTACCCAAGTCACGAAAATGTCATGTGATCTGACAAAACCTTTTTCGTGATAATATATGTTTGTACAATTACCCTTTTGCCCCTATGTCTATATTGAACACAAGGCATACACTGTGTCATCCTTGTCCAGTTCAATATTGGGCCCTTAGACATTTCTCCTGTTATGCAGGATTGGCAAATTCCATCTAGGACACTCATGTCCCTCAGCATGCTTCGTGGAGTGCCCATCAACTGTCTTTATGATCATCCAGTTACGGATAATGTTTGATCAGCAATAAAGCACCCGACTCTACATCTAGGGTCCATAGTGGTTTCAGGTCGAAGGGTGGTAATACACCATTATCACCATGAGAATAACTTATGACACTTTGCATAACATACTATGTAGTATTCTCATAGCGGGTCAATCCGGTATAAATATTACTCCTAATATTTATACCTATGTCAAGACTTGATAACTCTTTATCCATGATCCATGAGATGTGATCATCAGTCTATCTTCATAATAGTCTCAATGCTTTTAATGTTATCCCACTTTGCAATAAAGCTTGACTACGGATATTTTAAGAATAATGTCTTTATGTTTAATGGGATCTCATGATTAAGTCACACTTAACATTTCATTAAACAGACTAACTATTCTAGGGACTTTATTATTCTGAAAGACAAACATAATAAAGAAATGCCTTTTATTATTAAACGAATAATCCGATACAAGTACCAAAAAGTATTGGCCTCTAGGGCTTACACCAACATATATATATATATATATATATATATACTATGAGAATGATATTTTTATGTGAGAAAATCAGAATGAAAAGATACAACAATGGTTAGCAGGAAATGGCTGTCAAATAAATGTTTAGTTTATGGTAAATTTGGCCACAACAAAGCCTCATGCCCAACTGCACCAAAACAAACTGCACAATTCGAACCTGCATAATCCCAGTTTGTACCATTCCAAACACAACCATCCCAAACACATTCATCCCAAACACAACCAACTACAAGACTTCAAAGTAGACTATCACCAAGAAGAACCCAACACACAAATACACAATCCCAACCACAACCTACAACAAGCCTTCAAACTAGTTTATCACCAAGAAGATATCAAACTGAATCAACACAAACCAAGGCGCAAACAATAACAGGACTTCAAGCAAAGAAGTGTCATACCACTCCACTCCAAACAAGAGTATTACCAAGAAGAGGGAATGCGGCATTTCAGGGACCAACAACAGCCTTTCAGCCACCAAAAGGACAACACTTAAGCTGCCTATAAAGAGAAAACACGCTTAGAATGTTGCTGTTATATTTTGCTAAACTATAATCATGTAGTTGTTTTTGTTTTTTTGGCTGACTTAGAAATGTATAATTTGAATCATTACATTATGTTTTGGATGTCTACTATGTATTTTGGATG